CGGCGCGGGCGGGGGGCGGCGGGTGGGACCGGGACCGGCTTGGGCACCGGCGCCGGGAGGGGCAGCGCCGCGCCGGACCGTCCGTAAGTACCGCGTGCGGCCGGGCCCGGAACCCTTCATCCTCGCGGCCCTCCGTCCCGGGCTGTCAGCCCTCGGTCGCGGGCCCGGAGTTTCTGCCGCTCCGCTCAGCCGGTGCCGGGGGTTCTGTGCCCGCCTCGCGCGCGGCCGTTTGTCGCGCTCTGGGGGCCGCAGAGGGTCCTGCACGGCCGCGCCGAGCCCAAGGTCAGTGCCGTCGGCCCGGCCTGGAGGTCACCCGGCGACACCGAGCGGGACGGAGGGAGCCGCTCGGGGCCGCTCCGCACGGCGGCCGCTGTCCGCGGTGCCACTGTGTACTGCGGGATCGCGGCGTGGCCGAGGCCATTCTGCTGCGTGTGAGGCGACGGGGCCTGGCCATGCTGCGGGCGTTCCCGATGGGAGCTGCCGCCGACCGCCGCCCGGTGCGACGCGCGCTTTTGCTCGTCGGTTCGTTTGTTTGCTTGCACGCCGCACGGACCGCACGTGGGAGCGCAGCGGTTGCGTTCTGGTGCGTCGCTGCTCGCGGAGCTGCACTCGAACGTCCCGCTCTCCTGGGGCTCCTGCGCTGCTCCCCCGTCCCGTAACGAAGGAAGGTCCCGTTTACCGGGCAGGGCTTTGCCGCCTTCCGGAGCTCTGTGATGTCTCGACGCGGAGCTGGGAGCCCGGCGCGGTGCGGGCGTCCTGGGAAGGCGTTCCGTTGCGGTAGGAACCGAGCGGAGTTGCGGTCCGCCTGTCGGGGGAGGCGGCGGGGTGCGCGGTGTTTCCAGGGCCGCGCGCTGCCTTGCTGAGGCCGGCGGCTGCGCGCGCGCCCAGGAGCGTTATCAGAGCCGCTGTGGACTTTGAGTTGAAAGGAAATGGCTCGTTGCTGGGGAAAGTTGTAGCGAGAGAAGCTAACTTTATTTTTCTCGTGTTTACTTTGTCTGTGAATGATCTACTGAGCATGTGCCGGGAGGGAGGCCGGGCCGGGAGCCGTGGAGCTGCGCTGGGCTCCGCCCGCCCCTCTGCCGGAGCTCCCCGTGGGACGCTGTTCGGCGCTGAGCCTCCGTTGTCTCAAATGAGCTTCCTGGGTGCCGGATGAAGCAGTGCCGTGCCTGGCATCGGCTGATGTCTGTCTGTGATTCCTTCGGCATGAAGGTAGCGCGGCTTCTCTCTGCGCACCTTCATTTCACAGCTTCGTTCTTGTTTGATTGGTTTGCTTGCATGTGCTGCCTACTGCGCAGAAGGAAACTCGAGTTTTAGTAAGTGAAAGGGAATGCAAAACCTGTAGACTCAAACTGTGCTTGATGCTCCATAGAAGCTGCCTTAATGCTTCACTTGCAGAGCCTGTGCTGCTCACCTGGCACCTGCTGCTTGCAGTGGTTTGTGGAGCTCTTGAAGGACTCCCAACAACTCTCATGAGGCTCTGTGCCATGGGGCTACGGGCTGATGGCTGTCAGATGTGAAACAGCTAATGTTGGTGGGGGTCTGTATGGGATAGTGCTGCAGGAACCCATTTTTGTACACTCTGGTGGCTGTTGCTTATTTAGGTTTGCACTTGTTAGTCATGCTAAGCTTAGATACCCACTGGAGGAACCGCATTCCTTAAAGCTCTGGAGATGCAATAGGGTGCTTGTATAGAGAGCTTTCCTCTCTTTCATCAACTGCCTCGAAAGCCTTGGGGTAAAGGCAGCTGCTCCACAGCGCGTGTGGGGTGAGGCAGCAGGAATTCCCCTCACCAAACACAGTGTGATGGCGGTACCTGAGGGTCAGACCCGGTGGTCTGTGGGCTCTGAGCTCCCCCCCAAGTTCTCCTGGGAGTCAGTGACAGCAGTGTGAGGCCTGCTGCCAAAGCTGCTCTACGCCAGGAGCCGTCGGCCGCTGTGTTGAGACTCAAGTTTACTTTGGAAGCACTGTAGGCTGACTTGGGGCATATTCAAGAGCGAGTGTGTTTGTGCAGTAGAAGAGCTACCTGAGGAACATGATGCTCTGGAAGCAACATGCTCTGCTTATTGCAGAATGGCCTGGGTTGGGAGGGACCTCAAGGATCGTGAAGCGCCAACTCCCCCCTGCACCACAGGACTCTTGTGGCTCTGTGGCTCTTGCCTTTTATGTGTGCTTAACTGCTGTGAAAAAATTATTTAGGATATTTCTAGTGTCCAGAGGGATGGTGAGCTCAGGATTGGTATCCCCAGGTGCCCTTAGCACCATCTTTAAGTCATTAAAAACCATTAATTATTTCTAATTATGTAATATTTCAAATCTAATGAGTGGCCTTTCTAAAATCCTGATCTCTTACTGCAGTGCTTCTGTGGAATGCTTCACACAAACGGTTGGTAAAACTTGCAGCTGCCAACTTCAGCTTCTTTGAGGTGTCTGCAGGAGGTGCTGCGCTGCCTGGAAGGTCAGGCTGTTGAGTTTGCTCCTCGCAGGGGTTGCAGGAGATGGCATGTTTCCCTGTCAGTCACTGCTTTTGCACATGATCTCTTCAGCTGTCCCCTTTGTCAGCTTTGTTGCTGACCAGCACGTGGGGGCCCCATGCATTGCTCTTAGCAGAGGTGAGCTAAGAGGGAGGTTTGAAGAGATTGTTCAAATTGTTCTTCAGCAAACAAACCTGTGCTTGTAGACCACAGCGGGGAACTGCCTGTGACCTCTGCTGCCACCTGGCAATGAGGATGAGAAACTTCCCATGTGCTCTAGCTGGTTTGGGCTCTGTGGGTATAAATAGCAGACCCTAGCAAGAGCTCATGATCTGTGTGTGCCTCTTGCACCAGGGCTTTAGCTGTGCTTGGGGATGTATCAGTGGTTTAGAAGGCTGAAGTCTGGAACAAGAATTAGGGAGAAAAATCTCTCCATAAAACTCAGGGTTGTGATCCTGTATTTTTTGTCCCCTTTCCTTAATGAGGTGCCTCTTCTGTTTGTGAGCTTGGGATTTGTTCCATTTCCTGTTGAACTGTGGGGATAAGGACAGGTGTGGTGTTCAGGGTTGCAGGAAAGAAGTTTGCACATCCCAACTCCAAAATATTTTAAAGGAATAGCATGCAGCGTCCTGTTTGCTGGCCCGTAAAAGGATGGGCAGTGTGTGTGCAGCTTGGGCTGCAGGAAGGTTGGTCTGTGTGCTGACTCCAGCAGTGGGCTGAAGTCTGGGGGAGCCGTCCTGTGCATGAGAACAGCCCCCAGCACAGTTGAGGCGAGGGCTTGTAGCTGCTCCTGTAATATAGATCAAAGCGAAGCTCGTCTCTCTGATTAGGTCTCAATTATGTTGTATAACTCCTCGTAGCAAGCTTATTAATGCATAAAAGTCATCTTCCTGCTTGTTTGGTCTAAGTGTTTTGCTGAAACCTTTGCTGTTCCTTCCCACTGTGGGTGACTGTGGAGTGCTTTTTTCAACAGATGTTCAATATCCTTCCATGCACTTCTGAGGTTTATTTGCAGTGAGCCCTAGGCACACAGCTTCCTTCTGAGCAACACCACCTCTTGCTGTTCTGTTTTAGCCCAGGTTTTGTTTTGAGAAGCACTCTGTCAAGGTCTTGTTGCGGTGAGCGCTATCAGTGCTGTGGTGTAAACCTTTCCGTTCTGTCTCCTTGAAAATTCAGGTCTGTTTTGTTGTGTGGAGTGCAGAGCACAGCGGAAGCCTTTGGTTAGTTTAGTCTCTGCTACTGAGCGTTGTGCGTGCCTGGGTGTTGGAAATAAAGTGTGTGCCAGGCATTTTACTTCACTGATTGCTTAGATTGTCAACTGTAAGCTGCACTTGCCGTGGACATTAGTGTTGCCCTTAGCAAAGGCTGAGTTTTATATTGATGTAGAAGCAAATACAAGGCATGTATGCATTGAATGTGTTTGTTCTGAAATTCAGGGAAGTAGTTTCCAAGCTGGGTAACAATGCAGAAAGAAGGAAAGATGCTAAAAATCTTTTTTTAATGATTGCAATATGTCAGTAGGTTATGAATGTAATAAAAGCAGCTTTGCCTGTACTACCAAGGAGTGGTTCTCTTCAGCATTTTATGAAAAATGCTTTTGAAAACATTGAGTCGCCCCTGGTGCAATGCAGGCCGTGCAGCAGGGACACAGCATGGCGTGCTGGCATCTGCCCACCTGGAGGTGAGTCCAGCAGGCAGGGAGGCGTTAGCACGGCCAGGCTGTGTGAGGCTGTGGAGTGGCAGGAGCAGAGAGTGGTCCCTGGGCTGCAGGGAGTGGTGCTGCTCCAGCGGGGACATCTGTGCACAAGGGTGGGTGGCTCTGAATCCAAGGGGTTCCTCTGCTGCATGAAGCAGGGCGATAATGGGAAGGTTGTGGCCAATGTGCTAAACTTCTGGCTCGCTCGAAGCAAAAGAGT